TAGATAGATAGATAGATAGATAGATAGATAGATAGATAGATAGATAGATAGATAGATAGATAGATAGATAGATAGATAGATAGATAGATAGATAGCTATTGGCGACAACCAACACTACGCGTCCAAGGCCCATGTCATGCACGTGTGCGTGTCGTGATGCACGTCAGCGCACCCATCACAAAAGTCGCGCTTCCCCGCTACTGTCTCGAAGCCTTCGAGTACAAGTTGCGGTATTATCGGTGGTTTCACGTTGCTGTGCCCATTCACGCATGACTATGAGTTATCTATCTCATCGGTGAGGGACTTTGGCAAAAAGGTGCTCGTTGCAACACGACCATCAAGTCTTGAAGGGACCTTGGGTCGCAGCCGCAAGATTATGGAAGGGGATGACAACGAGCCGATGCGATAATCCTGTGCTAGTGAGACATCGCTTGAGGAAATTCCTTATCGTACCAAGCGCCGCCGCGTGCGTGCTTCTTTCGCACCCAACGAGGTTTGCGTCGACGCGTAGTCTGATCCAACGTACTAGGCAATGATGACGGAGGGTCGCTTTGCCCGTGAACTTGTCGCGACAAACTCGATCCCATCGTCGTCACGATGATGCGAGCCGAGGCCAACCGCGTCTGGGATGCGGAACGACGCATGAAGCTACCAAAGGGCGATGCAACGGCAGACGTATCGATCTCCAGTGAAGCTCGTAGCACTGATCTACCGCTGAGCTGGTCCGCCGCTTCCGATATGGTGCCGAAGCCTGCCAAGTTGCGAGCTTGCAGGCTTCGGCACCATTCGGAAGCGGGAGACCAGGTTGGCGGTAGATCAGTGCTACAGGCATCACTGGAGATCGATACGTCTGCCGTTGCATCACCCTCTGGTAGCTTCTTGCGCCGTTTCACATCCCAGACGCGGTGACCTCGGCTCGCATCACCGTGACGACGATGGGATCGAGTGAGCTTGGAGCGGTCGCTCGACTAAGATCTTGTGGGGCAAAGTCAAGCCGATTGGTCGAGCGCCAGCTGGTTCTCGAACACGATCTTGCCAAACCCAGTGCTGGCTTCGTTTTGGTAAGTCCCCTATTTTTTTCGATTTTTGGGGGACCCACATCCAATGTGGCGAGATGCCACGCTGTCCTCACTGAGGCAGCGCTCAACTGCTCCTACCCGTCTCCAAAAGATCGATTCAAAGGCTTGGTAAAAAGGAGGCGGGTATCGCGGTGTGCAGCACCGCAGGTCCCCTGGACAATCATCTTGAAGCTGTGGTGGGTGGCCCTCCAAAACCAGGTGGTGGGCGTCTAGTCGACATTTCCAGTTTACATCATCAACATTCGAGCTTTTGCCAGCCAGCGACCATCATGATCGTCCAGGCGACGTCCGTGCTCCATGTCCTCTGGATCCTCTGCAACTCGGCGGTCTTCAACCTCTACCAGCTCGCCATCTACGTGACCATCCGGCCCTTCAACCGCGCGCTGTACCGCAAGGTCATGGGGTGCGTTGCCGGCCATGCGCCGTGCATGCCTCATCCTCCGGTGCTAGGGCGCAGTGCCAGCAGGCGTGGGTCGACGTGCTCTCGTGCAGCTTTCCCAAGGCCAACATCGTCGCCACGTACGGCCATTCGCCACACGCGCTTCCCGCTCACATGTCGTCTCTGTCTGTAGCGGCGACATCCCGACCGACATTGCCAAGCCCATGATCATCCTCGCCAACCACCAAGTCGACGCCGACTGGTGGTACCTCTGGCAGAGTACGACACGCAAGGAGCATGCACATGCTAAGATCTCATGGTATTCCTAGTGGCGCGGCTTCAAGGCGCGGCTGGGAACGTCAAGATCACGCTCAAGGGCGAGCTCAAGCACGTCCCGATCATTGGCTGGGGCATGCAGTTCTTTGAGTTTCTCTTCTTGAAGCGCAACATTGAGCACGACCGGCTGCACGTCCAAGGTACCCCCGCCTCGTCATCTTCCTCCTTCTTCGTCGTCTCATGATCGTCCTGCTTTCCAGAGTACATGCAGAGCTTTCTCCAAGACAAATTTCCGTTTTGGATGATCATCTTCCCCGAAGGCACGACTATCCACACGGAATATGTGGCCAAATCCAAGGCCTTTGCGGCAAAAACGAACCGGCCGACATTCGAGCACCTCTTGCTGCCGCGCTCGACCGGGCTCCAGATCATGATGGACGCCTTCTCGTCCGACGACACGCAGACCAAGCCCGATATTTACGACCTCACGATGGCATACCCCTCGTACAGCGGCGAAGTCCCAACCTTTGCCATGGGCTATGGCCGCAACGTCGACTCGGACATCCCGTCGATGAAGTCGCTCGTCGCTGGGAGCGGCCCCGACGACGTGTTTGTGCACGGCCAGAAATTCTCGTTTGAGGATGTCCAGTCGCTCGGTGTCGAAGCCTTCCTCGATCGGCAGTGGCGCGCCAAGGACAAGCTCCTCACTGAGTTTATTGCCAACCAGGTATCCATTCTCGGATCTATCCATCGGTATCCATGCTCATGGGTTGTTGGCCTGTAGAGCTTTGTGTCGCACGCTGATACCCGCCACGTGATTGCTCCCTGTGTACGTCTTTGGATACGGGAGTTTTTGAAGTACTGATGCACATGTTGTCTAGTCGTCGATGACGGCGATTTGCCGGCTCTGGGGCGCGGCCTTGGTCTCGTTCTTCCTCTTGCCGCTGCTGCTCATCACGGTCGTCCCATGTACGTACTACTTTTGTGTATATAAGAGGTGATGACGCTTCTTTTGATGCTGTAGGCTATGCGCTCACGGTGCTCTACGCGGGTGTCATGAACTCGTGGGACCGTCGGCCGACTGCGTTCTGGCCGTACCTCCTCAACGCCGTCTCGGAGAAGAAGTCGGCGTGGAAGATCAAGCGCGCGTGATTTTGTTATCAATGCTCGCAATCCACGTGCTTGTTGTATATACACTGTGAGCTTCGTCGTCATCTCGCAGGGCGAGTGGGGTAGGGTTGTGATGACAGCAGTTCCTGCGGACGCTTGTCCTACAAAGGAAACGCGAGCGAGAGGTCCAGAACCATTGGGTTGTACCTTACGGACAATACATTCGGACGGAAACGATTTTCGATGGCATTAACGCAAATGTTGGAGATTTCGTAGCTAGAATTATACTAGGAATTAGCGCCGTAATTTTGTAGGAATTTCCCACATATCGGTACGAATTATCTGCTGTCGGCCAGAACACCGACCCCCAACAAGAACCGTACCAAACGAGCAGCTAGGCTAGTGAAGCACTCGGCAAAGAGAAAGAGGAGGACCAGAACCGCACACCTGCAGAGGCGTGTAGGGCAGCAAGGGGAAGCGAGGCCACGAAGGCTGCTATCACGAAGTCTGGTGTAGTCAAGTCGCGTGGTAAGGGATCCAACAGCCAGAAAATCAACGAAAAGTCGAGCTCTTGAGTTGGCGAACGAACGTGGTGTGCTTGACAAACCGGCCATTTTCGGATCCTAGCACGATGACGGCCAAGTGATCGAGTCGCGCGCCGACATCGATCAGACGTGGGATCGTCACATCGATCTATTTGCTGCAGCGATGCCCATTATCCTATCGGCGAGCCTTCAAGGCGTCTCGTCGAGCGAGCGCTGGCCTGTGTACAACATGCCAGGAAACGACCCGCCCTACTGTCGCTTCGTCACCAAGTGGGCAGCCAAGATCAACTACGTCGACATGATGGCCAAGCAACTCCAACCCGATCGTGCGATGTACTGCAACATGCTGCGCGCTTGCACGAACGTCCGCCACGCAAGACTCACGTACGCCGCCGACGTTGTAGCTGCCATGACGACGCCGGTCCACCGCGTGACGTACCTCCAGCTTACTCAGGAGGCGGGTTGCCAGTAGATATAACGTACCCGACTACCCGCTCGACGCTGCGGAGCACATCGAGCGCTGGCTCGCATCAGGTCACGCACAGCGCTTGATGCTTTCGAGTTTCCATCGCGTCGATGCTGGCCTCGCGCATGTGCTTGCATCGTCAACGGTCTCGCACCTCGACTTGAACTGCTCGCCCGGCGTCGCAAACGGTGTGGCGTTCACGCATCTCAGAGAAGCGACCTTCAAGTTGAGTTCGGCGCCAATCGAGTTTTGCCAGCTCGGGCCACTGCTCAATTTGTCCAAGCTCCAGAAGCTGGAACTCGCGAACCTCGTCAACGTCGATGGCGCCTACCTTGTGAGCAAGCTACCCGACTTGGTCGCTCTGGAAAGTCTATCTCTCTCCAACGTCGACCTCTCGACGGCGCAATCACCTGCTATGGGCACAACGACCGTGCTTCGCCACGCTTGGGCGACGGTTGTGACATCTTCGCCAACAAGCCAACAAGCTTCCGCGCGATGGTCGACTGGGCGCTAAGCTCGCCCCAGCTCGAATCGCTCACGTGGTGCGACGTCGATTCCATCACGAAGCACATCGCCGACGCTGCGGATACGCTGCAACGCTGCATTGCGGTTGGTGTGGGTCGTATTGACCTTCGGAGCTGCTCTCTCGACGACGATAGCGCCAAAGCGCTGGCTGCCGTTCTCGCCGGTTGTCACGCCCGAGAGCGCTTTGAGCTCGACCTCTCCTGGAACGAATTCTCAACCATCGGCGTCGGCTACCTCGCCTCGGCGCTCACGTCGTGCACCAACGTCCGCATCCTCCTGCCCAACGCCTTATCCGACCTATTTCACAAGCCGACTTGAGCTTTGCGAGCGGCCATCGAGAAGCCTGGCGTCACCGTGGAAAAAGAAAGTGCGCGAGAAATCTGGCTGTGTAGTCGTATGGCTTAACGCGCTGCTCAACGTCGTATATGTATCCGATATCCACGACCTACGCGTATCAGGGGGCCTTGGATACCTCACACAAGGTATCCAACTCGAGGGTGTTCTCGTTGTTTGGTCAGACCACGGGGTCTCGATAGAATAGGATAGATAGGATAGGATTGAACGGTGTGGACAGGGTAAAGTTGTTCGACAGCCGTTCTCTCATCTCGGTAGCCAAAAGGCTCTTCGTCGCTACCGATCGAGATACGTTGGACTCGACAACGCCGTCAGCGTACACTTTCGGTACGAACCCTAACCACTGTCTGCCACAGCGTATTTCTCCAAATACGCAGAAAGCAACGTATTCGTACGAGACATAAGAGCGCTCGTTAGTCGTCATCAACCGGAATCGGCCGTGCGCGGTGCCGAGTGCACATGCGTTCGTCGCCATAGCCGAGCTCGTCGCACTGGTCGACGACGCACTCGGTGAGGTTGTCGCGGCTGTGGGTCGTACACCGCCGCTTATGCAGGCGACTGGCCGAGCAGCCAAGCACAGCGCAGACGTCAAACACTAGCCAGCGTACCGACCGCGCGCGCGTCACAAAGCTGCAGCCGTCGCGACGCCCCATGTACGTCAAGTCGAGACGGTCCAGTGGCTCTGATGGCACGAGCGCTTGAACGAGATCGAGTTGCTCGGTGATCGAGAGGTCGGCCGCCCGTGGACGCCGTCGGGCCTGGGCGTTGGCGACCCATGTGTCAATGGCTTGCTCAAGGACGTCAAAGACTTCGGGCAGCGGCACGACGCAGCACGGATCGTCTCGGTGATGCGCCGCGCGCTCCAGCTGAATGGCCGCCTCCCAATACGGTGCGAGCGCCAAAACCGCATTTGCGTCGGCGTCGTTGGGCGTGAGTCGGAAGAGCTCGACCGACGTCGCGCGGGTTTCGGCGTTGCTACTGCGGCTCGGGCGTGCCAACGCGTTAAAGATGACGCGGCCCGTGAGTCCGTCCACAGGAAAGAAGACAACTTGTTCGTCCCCGGCCATGAACGCATTGCTAGGTCCCGTGGACTGCGGCTCGGGGTCCGACGGGTGCACGCGCGCTGTCCACCACGGAAAGATCGCGGTCGGGAGGCGGCTCCACACTGGCTACCATAGACAATACTGTCATTTGGACAATGCTGTACAATATGAAATATACCTGCAGAGGGTGGGCGACCCAGGGTCCAGTGTCGCCGTCCACGGCCCGCCGATCGCCGCGATACCGCGTCCCGTTCTGCACGGTCGTCCGAAAGTACTCGCCAAAGTCGTCATGACGCAGCCACTGCCGACGCTGGAGCACGTCAGCGATGGCCATGAAGCGCGAGATCGCCACGTCCAGCGGTGTCGCCGCCAGTGCGTCAAGCAGCTCGAGCATGTCGGCGTCGACGGCGACGTGGTCGGTCGCTATATCGCTGCCACGCTGGACAACGACGTCAATCAGGTGCTTGCTAATGTCGGTCTCGTGGCCACGGCCTCGGCGCGGACGAGAGGCGAGGTACGTGTCGCGGCGCGCGTCTAGCGTGCGGAGCGCTTCGTGGAGGCGGCGCAAGGTCGCTGGGGTTGCCAAGGTGGCGCTGGGCGGCGATAGAAACATGTCACGCGGCTCATTAGCAACCTCGTGGTTGCTGCAGAAACATCTGATGAGAACAAAGACTGCGTCAGATAACGTACGCGATCATGTCGACGTCGGCGCTCAAAGGAGCTTCGTCGACATCGAAGTCGCCGCCGCCAAAGTCAAAGACATCGGGCTCGTCGTCGTACGGGGCAGGCGCGTTGTCGTCGTCCGCCATGCTGTTGGGTCTACACATGCATGTGCAACGTTGCAGATAGGAAGGAAGAACAGTGTACCGCACTGCGTCGACGAGCGGGAGTCCACGGCGAAGCTCTGGCGACGCGACGTCAACGCTACGCAACCTCGATTGCGCGACTGTGCGCTGGATTGCAGGTCGCGTACCCGCTGGATGTCTCGCCATCCTCCGCGTCGCTGCTGAGGGATCCGTCGTCTTGGTTGTCGTCGGAGGAGGAGCTACAGGCAGGTAGAGTCAAATAGGGTGTGTTCTTGGAACGTACGGGGTGCTGCGTGGTCTCTTGGGTCGCGGCGATGATGACGACGTTGGCGACGGCGATCGCTTTCGATGACGCTGGGGAGAAACGCGGCTGTCTTCTTCGTCGGACTCGCCTTGGCCAGACGCTTCTCCGTCGGGGTCTTGTTGGTTGATCTTGTCGCCTTCGTCCGTATCTTGGTCGCTGGTCGCCCGAGGACTGTCGATCGGATGCGCCGCGCCGGTACCCAGTGGTGCTACCTCAGTGCCGTCGCTGTCTTTGCCAGCGTCGTCGCGCTCGGCCTCGTCCCCTTCAACACGTTGTTCCGTGGCCGCTTGCTCGTCTTGGTCTTGCTCGACGTCATCCTCGGCAACGTCCTCTTTGCTGTCATCTTGCTTGGTCTCTTCCTCATCGGTGCCGGTATCGCTGGCCGCTAGAGGACTGGCAACCACTGCAATGTGGTCGTTGAGGGGTGCAAGGTGATCCTCGAGTGGTGCACCGCCGATGTCCTCGTTCGACGCCTCTTCGTTGCCACCGACTTCGTCCTTGGACTCTTCATCGTCTCTTGCAGCTTCTTGATCGTCAGCGGCTTCGACGTGAGGCGCCGAGCCGCCCGGTGCAACTCTGTTGTCGGTGACATTGTAGTCGTTGGTCGACGGAGGACTGGCGACACGAGGAACCATGTTGATGCCCTCTGCAAGGACGCGGTCGAGCGCCACGTAGCCGCCTCGGGCAAGACCTTCTCGGAGCGCAGCATTCGCAAGCTGGAGGTTGCGGATCTTGGCTCGCTTGAGCAAGGCCATGTGCTCAGCCTCGAGCTCATCGAGCTCGGCGTCTTGGGAGCTGCCGTCCTGGGAGCTCGGCGGCGTCTCCGCCTGCACGTAGAGCTTGACTTGCCGGCCCTTCCCCTTGGGCCGCTCGCTGCGCATGCTGCTGGGCTCGGCGAATCTTTCGAACTGATGGGCTTTTGCCACGCTTTCGGATTGGACGTCACGGATTGGATAAAACTCCGCAAGCGGCCATTTGTGATTGGTGCTTTATTTCGCGCCGGCAAGATGCTTGAAGTTGCAGGAGGCTCACGGAAGCCGCAAGCAAGCCGAAAGAGCAGCGCCACAGCAATGTACAGCGATGAACCAGCTCGTCTTAGCTACGGATCGGCGCCCGGCAGTCGTGCGCGCCGACGCGTCCTGCCCTCCAACTTCAATGCGCGTACGGTACGACATGTGTATTGTACGGTTTCTTACTTTCGTTTTGTATCGAATGTACGTACATGTATTGTACCCCTTGACTTTTGATGGGCATCGGCTTTGACTTGTCGGTTCAAGGTCCACGCTTGCTCTTGGTGTCTATTGCACTGATGGCTCTCAAGGCAGCTCTACGAAGGAGCCCCGCGCTTCCGCCTCGCCTCGACATACTAGAAAGGACCGACACATACCAGCTCTGAATCAAACTGTCCCTTCATCTCGAGTTACAAGGTTACGGTACTGGCGCACGATGACCCGGACGACATAGGACACGACTTGCTTCAGAGCGAGCGCTCGAGACCACGGGCTTGAGATTATGGTGCGGGTACTCTTGGCGAAGCATGGCAAAGAGGTGCGGCTCGTGTCCAACGTACTCGCGCGCCAGGTTACCCGCTTCCGCGATCCGCGGCCGATCGTGCTCGTGGAAGAAAGCCTTGAGCTCGGTCGTCGTCTTCTTCGAGCGGGCCTTGTACGAAATGGACGGATGGAGCGCCAAGGCGATAACTTGGTGGAACAGAAGCGTGCGGACAAGCAGCACTGACCAGGCCAGGGTCGGCGGGTCGGCGGTAGCCGTTCGATCGGCAAAACAAGCGTATGGAGCAAGCCATGCACGAATAAGTAGGCTACAAGACAGCACATCGATCATGTGATCTTATCATGACAAAAGCTGAAGAACGCACGGCCGGCCTCGAGCTCCGGAAAGAGGCCACGACCACGATCATGGCGAAGCGCAGGGTCTCGACGTCGAAGGCGGTCATGGCGCTGGCCAAAATTGTCATGGTCAGCAGCTGAGGCGCCACGTAGATGACCACGCATGGCACGCGGCTCGCAACGACGTGTCTTCACTTGCGAACTCTCAAGCTGAATGATTTATGAGAATCGAGTGGTCCGCGAACGGATCTGATTGGCCGACCAAGTATCTTGAATGGACACTGTATTCCACAACGGACGCCCCGCACGGAACCGCCGAATTCAAGGGCTCGGAACAGAACATGCATTACACAACGAGTGACAGTGTTGATGCAGACGAGGTTAGAGGCACGTCTTAAGTTGTTTGATGGAAGTTTGGGGTCGGGAGGTGTCAACACCGTCCAGTTCCGGTCGCTACAGACCGCCTCGTCAAATCGGTTGCTTTTGGTCTCATCTCATGCTGAACGAGTGGTCCATCCTGAACATGCTGCTGCAGTCCCCGACCAGTCGCTACAACTGCGGCGCTATCAATGCTCACCCGCTTATTGTCATGCCCCACTACAGTACGTTCGCTGGTGGCGGTTCGATACCGACGCCTTCTCTTCCTTTCTGCTCGCGTTCTTCTTCGTACCAAGCAACACGATCGTGAGTGCATCGGCCCGTCCTTTGCTACGTCAAACCCGTGACTGCAATCGCCTGTTGGAGCGGCTTCGGCAAGCCCTTGTAGCTCATGCATTTACACGCATACCTCGTCAAGATATGAATACTAGTAGGGTGCTCGTGGCCTCCGAAAGACCGCAACGCTGAACCGAGTCGAAGGTCACCAGTCGTTGGTCATCTACCGTGTCTTCTCCAAAGCTACGGATGTTGTTGTCCCCAGGCAATCTCTTGGATCTACACCATCCTGCATCGCCATCGTACAGTGTTTTTGCTCACAGTGGGACAGCACATACATTCGCCTACAGGCATGAGTGCAGGTCTTCATAATGGATGGCAACAGCTACTAGTATGGTAACCAATACTGATTCAACTCGAGCAAGCTCACGTCTCCAGCATGTCGCGATCGGTCCTTGACGTTGCCGACGTCCTTGTCGCCATCGTTCAGTGCACGCCATCGCATAAAGATGTCGCGTCGCTCCTTCGCGCTCTGCCGCCGGCCGCGTTGACGCCACCGCTCGCGGCGCTTCTCGAACTCCTATCGCTGGACAAGCGTCGAATGACGGCTCCGTTCTGGCCGCAGCCACGCATCCGCGTCGTGAACGAGGCCAACATTGATCGCTTCGCGACAGCAATGCCCATCTTCACCTCGGTGTGCATCGATGCCGTCTCCATCAGCAAACGCTGGCCCACGTACGAAGACGCTGCTTGTGACGACGACGATCTACCTTTTCTTTCGTTTGTCGTTCACTGGGCTGCCAAGATGACGAAACTCACCTCGTGTACGTCGTATAACAAGCTTGGGTTGCATCGGATGGCGTTCGTCAATATGCTGCGCAAGTGCACCAACCTCGAGGCCGTGCAGCTTCCGTATGCGGTCGACATGCTCGAGGCCGTGACGACACCGGCCCACTGCGTCCAGGACCTTGAGCTCCAACACTTTGGCAATGACCACGAGTATCCGCTCGACGCCGTGTCGATGATTGAGCGTTGGCTTGCGTCGGGTCACGCGCGACGCCTGAGCCTCGTAGGTTTCCGCACCGGTGACGCGGGTCTCGGCAAAGCGCTGGTGCTGGCGGCGTCGACGCTCTCACATCTTTGCTTGAGGCAATCGCCGACCGTCGTGCAGACCGTCATTTTGAATGGCGTCGCGTGGACGCACCTCACAGAACTCGACCTCGTCGTCGGCAACACGTCAGCGGGGACTGTGTTGCGTGAGATCGCGCCGCTCCTCAACGTGTCGCAGCTCCAGAAGCTCACACTTCGAGGTGCGCAAGGCGACAATGGTGCCTTTTTTGTGAGTCTTCTGCCTTCCCTTGCGGAGCTCACCGACCTCCACCTCGTCCACGTCGACCTCACGCAGGCTCGGCCGATGGTCAATGGCCCACTGATGCTTCGCAGTGCTTGCTTCCATTTCATCCAATGGACGGATATGAGCTTCGCCGCAGTGCTGGACTGGACCCTCCGGTCGCCGACGCTTGAGACTATCACGTGGTCAGGGTCCGATTCCTTCTTGAGCGAGAACCCGGACACAGTTCAAGACGCGACTCGGCGCTGCCTTGCTGCCGGTGTGCGTCGTATCGTCTTCGACGAGGACAGCGTGGTGAGTTCCGAGATGCTGGCTGGCGCCGTGAGAGGCATCCACCTCCCAACACTATGTACAATCGTCTGCAGCACCAAGATGGAGACGGCCGAGAGCGTCAGGAGCTTGCTTGCGGCGCTCGCCACATGCACCAACGTGACGCTCAACGTTCGTGTGTATCCCTCCCATGCCTTGTCGCACGAAGCCTTTTGCGAAGAAGCACAAGAGGCCGGTGCCACCGTCGACTTCTCGGCATTTGGCCGATACTGCCTTCTGCACAGTCCCTCTAACACTTGCGTTTGACAATCACGACGTTGCGTTGGTTTGTCCTGCTCTCTCAACAGGATCCCACAGCGGTGCTTGACTCACAGTGTACAATACGTACTAGATCTCGATGTTGCTCTGCTTACACGATCGCCGAGCTGGTCGGGAGGATGGCCGCGAGGGCCGTCGAGGTGTCCGGGTCCATGGTGATGTACGCGTTGAACTTGGTGCGGCAGATCGGACACGTTTCGATCTCGTTGAGGCACGTCGGACACACGCAGCAGTGGCGGCACGGCAAAATGACGACGCGCGTCGGATCTTCGAGGCAAATCGAGCATTCGACAAAGTCGTTGAGACCGTAGAGCTCCTACAAATGGACGAGATTCGTCCAGTTTAGTCGCAAGCAACGACAACGACGTACGTGGGCGAGATGGACGCGACCGCTTTGAGTATAGTAGATGCGCTTGGTGATACTTGGAGACTTGTGCAATGCCACGTCGACAAAGACGGTTTCCGAGACGATCGGGTCGGTGCGTCCGTCGCTCACGACGACGACGTGCGCTGGCGCCGACACTTTAAACACAATGGCGACAACAAGAACTGACGCATCGGCAGCCAACGGGAACACGGGCGGCAGCGTGTACGTCTTGAGTCGGTACGCACTAGTGTTCTCGGGCGGGAACCTACGCCGAGATCGCCATCACTTGTCAAAACAAACAACGAGCGTACTGCAGCGACGCCGATTTCATCTGGTATGACGCCGATGTATCGTCCATCCACTTTGTCGCGACCGCATTTGGCGCTTCCACGGTCGCTGTGTCTGGCATAGGCGTCAAATCGATGGCGTCGTCCGGGGGCGGCGAGCCAGGCGCATGCGGCACGGTTGGCGATGACGACGACGGCAGCGAGTTGAGCGCCCGTCGCTCGGCCTTGTCATCGCTGTTCTGCCGCCGCCGCGTGAACGACGACCACGCTTGCTGCACGTGACGCGCGATGGAAGGCCTCTTCGAAGCCGTCGCAGGCGTCGTCTCGTTGAAGTCGGTGGCGTCGACGCCCCAGTACGTCTCGATCGCAATGCCGGCGCGGGACGCCTGAAAGTCGAACGAGAGACCGATACGTCCGTCCTCTACCACACGTCACTGTAGCGAGATGCAGGCGATTGCAGATGCGTACCGTGCGTGATGCGCAGGCTGTTGGACACGACGTCAAAGGGCGCGTCGACCTTGGTCATGGGAAAGCTATTCACTTGGTCTTGCGTGCGCAGGTACTGCTGGAGCCGCTGCGTTGTCATTTGCTCGAGAATCGACAAGCTACAATAACTTGAGATGGGCGCCATGACGCCGCAACAAGCGCATGTACCTGGGGCCGAGCTCGGGCAGGTAAATGACCTAGCAGCATGGTCGTCGTGAGGCAGAGGTCGATAGAATGAATATTGTACGTTGCGCTTCTGAACAGACCGGCGCATGGCCGCAAGGTCGACGAGAAGCAGCGTGAGACGTGCTGCCCAGAGCCCGAGCCCGCACGTGAAGAGGAGCACGACGAGGTTCTGGAGCTCCGTCGGCAGCGCCATGGTCGTGCCACGGGCAAGGTGCAATATCGAGTTTGACAGTGTTGCAGCGACAACGCGCTGGCAAAAACGCGTTAAATGTAGACGAAAACGAGCGTTACGGGGTGCTCTCCCACACATACCTCGTGGATCACCTTGTCGTCGACGTCACCTCATGAAGTCAAAGCCACGGTACCTTCATGCCCCACTTGCTTGTAGCATCTCTAGCAGCGACTCTACAGCATCAAACGATGTACCCTGCCTGTAAAACCTATTTAACGCACCCCTCATTTTGAATATATAAATCTTGCGCGTGATTGGCTAATGTGCCGGCCAATCGGCGACGGCGGTTTGGCATTACGCGACTTGCCCAGGATGGCGACAAGCGCATGGCTCGTCCAGGGGCGGCTCCTCCGGCGCGACCGCACGTTCCACACGTGGAAGGGTCGGCAGATCTACATGGACAAAGACGCGTTACTCTTCTTCAACTCGCGCGGTGTCAAGCGCAGCGAGAACTTCCGTGTGAGCCCGACAGGCGGCTCACCGACCGCCGCCGGTACGTCGCCCGCTGATGCTAGCCGCTCATGCATTCGCCGTAGACATAACCATCAGTCTCTTCGAGTCGCCCAAGCCGCACGGGTTCATCCTACGCGTTCGTGACGACAAGATCTTCCTCGCCGCCGAGAACGAAGCTGACCGTGACAAGTGGGTTGATGCGCTCGTGGCTCATTGGGGCGCGGTCCTCGACAAGGCCAGCGTCAACATCTCGACCGACAAGACGCTGTGGCAGCAACCACGCCACTGTGACGCCGTTGCCACCGCCAAGACCTTTGGCCCAATGATCGAGACGCTCTCGGCCGTGCAGTTCCCCGCCAAGCTCCGTGCGACCGGCGACGTACTCCTCGGCGTCGGGCCGTTCGTGCGTCGTGTACGCTGGAACGACGAGCCGATCTTGGCCGTTGCCTTGTACATTGACCCGACCGAGGCGCGGAGCCTCTTGGCGCCATTCCAGGACAAACCACTGCAAAGTCTCATCGACGACCAGGGCTTTTACGCCGCGCTCATGCGGTCGCCCGTGCGCAAGACGCTCGTCTTCTCGTGTCGGAAGCGGCTCTCGCGCGCCGGCATTGTCGCGGCGCTTCACGACGAAGTACGTCCGCGTATCGGGGCAGCCGTCCACGAACTTGAACAGCTCGTATCGTTTATCGACAAGTCGCTGCGGAAGGGCGAAAGCATGATCTGCACCTTCTTGCCATCGCCGGGCCTCCTGGACTTTCATTTTAAAGGCATCTCGCACCCGTGCCTTGCGGCCCCCGCGCTCTCCCGTGCGCTCCAAGGTCTCTTTTTCGATAGCAACTCGGTTCAAGTCCTCGCCAAGCGGGGGCTGGTCGAGCGCCTCCCATGTCTCTGGGGCAACAACGGCAGCACGGTAGCTGCTGCGGTGCCACGGCCTTCAGGCGACATGGCGCCGATTGCCGAAGACGACGATGATGATGACGAAGCAGATGACGAAGACGATGACGACGAGGATGAGGATGACGAGGATGACGACGACGAAGGTGTCGCGCCGGAAGAAGACGCACACTCTGTGCTGGCGCCGCGCAAAGGCCTTCCGTTTGGCCCTCTCATGGACCCGGACTCGAGCCAGCTCTTTCCCGGCAGCCTCGGCGACGGTGCTGTGCTGCTTGGCACGTGGTCGAGCGCCAACGTCGCTCAAGTTGCCAACTACTCGGTGGGGTTGTACGTCGACCCGGTCCAAGCCAGCGCCCACCTCCTGCGCTTCAAAGGTCTTTCGTTTGGGAGCGTCGCGGCAGACCCTGATTTCTCAGTCGCCTTTACGACCGGCGCCTTCCGGAAGCGCCTCGCGATCGTGCATGCGACGCCGGTGGTGCTATCGAGTGTCTGCGACCTCCTCACGTCGCTGCTCGTGTCGGCGCACCTCCTCGACGACACCAAGAGCATCAGTGACGCGTTTGCGTCACTGCCCCCGCGTCTCGAAGCTGGCGAGCTCCTCTTGCTCAACGTTCACCCGGACAGCAGCTTCTCGGTGAGCGTCGGTGCCGGCGCGATCGAGGCCAGTGCTTCGAACCCCGCGCTCTCAAAAGCGGCGCAGACGGCGGTCGGCACGGCCCTCCAAAGCCTCTTTTACGGCTACAGCACCCCCGACGTCCGTTCTTTCTCTTTGTGTTGCTGATATATTGATAGATTGATATTGTAGGTGGAGGCGCGTGCGCGCTTGATGCAGCGACTGCCGTACTTGCTCGATTATGCCAAAGCCGACTCGGTCCACACGTACCACGACGAGATAGCGATGCTCAAGGAGAACTACGACCGGTTGACGCCGGCGAACCGCGTCAAGGTGGGGTATGTGCACGTATACAACCAGCGTCGCAAGATGATGATGCGCTGGTCGCGTCGCTGGTGCCGTCTCGACGGCGTCGTCTTTTCGCTCTTCAGCCGCAAGGACAGTGTCAAGCCCCGGGACGCCTTTGTCATCTCCGACTGCCGCATCGACGACGTGTCGTCACAGGAAGACATGCGCATCGAGCTCCGCAAGCTCAGCCAGATTTGCGTGCTCCTCCGCATTGCTCTCCCATCTGGCGACAGCTGGGTGTTGCGCGTCGACAGCGTCTACGACGGCAACGAGTGGCTCGACGTCCTTCGCCAAGCCGCCGCCATTGTGCCCGAAGACGTCGCTGTGATGCCGCCGCTGTCGCTACCGCGGTCGCGCCGCCGCGAGATTGCCCCGGACGACTCGGACGACGCCGCGACGTATGACGAGCCGGAAGACGATGACGATGAAGACGATGACGATGACGCCTCGATGCCCATGCCCTGGCGCCCCGACGACGACGACGAAGCGGTCTCGGACCGTGCGCGGGCCGGGTCCCTCGTGACGTGGGTGGCGGCGGACGCCCGCAACCAGCTCATCGTGCTCCTTCTGAGCCTCGTTGTCTACTTAGCTTCGTGCGATGGAAGCACGTACAGATAGAGTCAAGGTCGCCATATTGTCATAGATCTGTCAGGCTTGTGCTCTTGGTTCGAAACGTCATGGCTTTTTGGCGCATTCCCGCAGCCTTTTCTTCGAGGAGCCGCGACGGAATCGACATGTCGATGCTGCTGGACGTGCGTCGGTGGAGGAGGCGGTCGGCGCGCTGCTTGGCATCGTCGGCGGTTTGCACTTCGGCCTTGGCCTTTTCAAAAGCCTACGCGAGCGAGGTTTAGTCGATGTATCGTAAACTTGTTTGCTCTAACCTGGCAAAACGACGAGAGCGTTTGAAAAAAGTCGGCGGGTTTCTTGGCCGGATCTTCGCCAAAGTATTCGAGCACGGCCGCAATCTGCGCCTTCATGTGCTCGACGCCGGATCGTAGTCGACTTAGATCGGCTTCGGTTGCGGCCACCGACGCCTCGTACGTCGCTAGCAAGCTCTACCTCACGTAGTTCGAAGACATGGACGAGGCAATAGACAATGACGCACCTCGACGCCTTCCGTCTTGACCCGGTCCCGTTCGTCCGCCAGCTTTTGCACGCTGCTCGAGAGACTGGAGAGGGCTTGGTCGATGGCTTCGGTCGCCTCACGCGCCGCCGACGGCACGTGCTCGAGCTCTTTGGCAAAGTCGAGGACGACGGGTTGGTTCTTCTTGATGACGCGGACGAGGTAATGCAGCACCGTCGTCTTGTTGTCGACGGTTTTGGTGATGCCGAGGCGAAGCAGCGAGTCAACCGAGAAGCCGCGGATCGCGTGCTCCGTCTCTTCGCCGCCGTTGAGCGTATTCCCGAGCTTGAGCACCATGCCAAGAAGGAGCTTGAGCAAGCGACTGCCCTTGACGTCGTCGCACGCGCGTGTGACGTTGGTGACGGACGCATCAATCTCGGCGACGCGCGTTTGAAACGAACTCTTGGTGATGAGGCACTCCATCTTGAGCGTGTACCGGGGCACGGTGGCGATGGCGGCAAAGAACTTTTCGGCCTAATTTCAATACAGATATGTGAACCCCGGGGTACATGGATGGTTACCTCGCCGAGGACGTCGGGGTCGCCGGCGTAGCGCGTCACGACGCCAACTTCATCGTCGGTCGGGAGGTATTCGTTGATCGTCACGAGTTGCTCCAACGTCAAGCCGCACGCGTCGAGAGTTCCTATCGCCGCGGCCACTTGCGCATATGTGAGTTTGATGCGCGCGAGTGCGATCGCAGCGTTCATGGCGCGCTTCCCGTCGACCAGCGTCACGGCCTGCTTGCGCGCGAGGGGCTTGGCGGCTGCTTTTTTGGTCTTGCTGTCGGCCTTGGCGAAGAAGAGGGACTCGATCTCGTCCAGGTCCATCTCGAGTTTGATTTCGTCGTCGCCCTTGGCCTCCCAGATAGTCGACTGGTGCCCGCTCTTGAGTCGGTCGTCGGGGATTGGCTGCCAAAACAGCTTCTTTCGGCGCACGGGCTTCTTGGGCGCGGGCGGTGGCGAATTGCTTGCACTGCTGTTGCTGCTGG